GGAAGGGGAACGGGATCTCCTTGAATGTGAGATGAGGTCTGCAGACAGGTTGAGAGGAGAATAATTAATAATAATTAAGAATAATATTAATAATAATTAATAATAACGGAAGGCTCTCCAAAAATGTGTGTGCAGGGAGAAATTCCCTTAGATCCTACACAGAAACTACTGCCGGCAGAGTGGAAAATGCAGCCATAGCGACCGTCAGCTGCAAATGACAAAGAAAGATACCTGATATTCCCTCAATCAGTCAAGAAACACTCCTGAAGAGGAGATCTTTCATTCTCCAGAACGAATGCAGAAATGGTTTCACTGGGATCAGTGAAAACAGCAATAAATGCTGGAAGAATTTCTGTAGTTTACCACGTAGAAATTTTTTAATTGCTCTGATGGACTGTCATGAGCGAGATAATATGCGACAGTCGTCACAAACATAACTCTGGAGTAAGTCCCAAGAGCAAAACACTTGGAACTTTGTTTCTAAAAAATATGTAAATATGGAAGAAAACCAGCTGACTGCTACAGAAGCTAGAAAAATCTGTCCTAACAACCTCCATTTTCATTAACGTAGGTCCCTTGATTGTGACAGCAGATTAAAAAGCGTTGTCTTCCAAAATTTAGCTGCAGTGTATTTTCCAAGATTTATCTACAGTTTAAATGTGGGGCAAAAATTTTGTTGGGGTCAAGCTTCATGTATTACTTTCAAAAGAAATTGCTCCAAAAATGGGATTGAAAAAGGAAAATTTCACTCTGACTTCTGATAGCTCAGCCTCATGGTAATATCAAAATCTCGGTTACTATCCATTTGAAAGAGGAATACTGCATGACCTGTTTGATTACTTGGGGGAAAAAATCTGAAAATATAAAAAAGAAGCTTAATTTTGAGAAAGCACAGTAATTTGGAGCCAACAAAGCTAAGCTGGGAGACAACATTCTGTCTACAGAAGAATGAAAAATGAAAGCAACCCATTTTTCTGCTCACAGACTGCATATTGAACACACTGGGCTATAGATAAGTCATTACTCGATCTCAAAGACCTTTGATATGCAATCTTTAAATGTTTTTCTTCCTGCCAGCAGAGTTTCAGAGTTAAGAGAAATCTTTATTTTGTTGATATAAAAATAATATGGAAATGATAATGCAGGAACACTGAGCCATTGCCCTACAAGATTATCATCCCTCTGCCTTCCTGAAAGTGTCATCCAGATGCAATTTCTTTAAAGGTGAGGGAGATGTGCTTTCTGTGCCAGAACAGCGCTTGCTTCTTTCAGTGTGCTAAGGTGTTGTGATAGAGTTTGAAAATCAGAAAAATCTGATCTGAGATGGGCTAGAATATATGATACAATGTGCTAATTATACGGTAAATTACAAGGAAAAAAAAAAACAACAAACCCGAAACTGATGACAAATTACTTGGTCATATGTATGGCTTTTAAGCACACTGTGACAAAACATGTACAAATGGGAGGGGATTTCAAATAGTAGCATGCATTAGCTCCCAAACACTTCCCTTTGCTTTTTGATGCCAGGGAGCTAAATTATCCTAGCCTATCCTAACCTGCTTCGGCTGAATCGTCTGCTGCAGTCTCAAAGGCCGGAGTGGAAAGAGTTTTCTCCATGTAAGCAAACCTGTTTACACACACACACGAGAAGAGCAGTCACTCCAGTGTTGGTGTAATCCCTCTGAGCAGCTTCGCAGAAACCTTAAGGCTGTTGTCTTGAAGTGGTGCACAAGTAGCTGTGTACAGTGGTTTTCAGACTATTTTGTTAGTGTTCTGCGAAGTACTGAAATACATTGTTCATAAATTGGTCTGGCGGCATGCTGTGTCGGTGTGAGAGTGACTGAGAAGGAAGGGAGAGTCCAGAACTTGTTTCCAAGTGGTTTATTGACTATTAAACTCTTATAGCCAGATAAAAGCAGCAGCAAATAACCTGATCCATGTGTCACAACAGTGCAGAGTCTCACCTTCTCCCTGCCTGCATCGTATTTCCTATCTAGGTCACTGTGCAGTGCGAAGCTGTTGGTTTACCAGATAAGGTTTCCACACGTTGCCCCAGATGCGGTGATGACAGGCACGTTTTCAGGCTGTTTATGCAAACCACCCGTGTCCCGAGCCTGCTCCTGCCATGTATTTTACCTTCCTCCTTGCTGGTTTGGTGCCTGGTATGGCTTGCCCAGCCTTATGGATGGAATCGGCTATACTGACATCTAAACAGCTTTGTAGATAAAGCCATCTTGCTGTCAGCCTGTCAAACATAAATTCCATCACTACCCTGCAACTGCTATGTGATTAAATGTTCTCCTGCTAGGCGTACTCTGGTTTAACAAGTTTTATGAGTCATGGCAGCACAGGGAAAGGAGAGTCCCCAAAACCAAGAATGGGCACAAACACCCCCTTGATAATCATCTTATTTAGAGAAAATAAGGTTTTCAGTTGTCCAGAGAAGTGAACACCAGGTCTCCTCGGATCCCTTGTCAGAGTATCTTGCACTGGTGCTCACTAAGGTACCCAGAGAAAGTGATTTTGCAGTTCTGAATTACATAAAACTTTGTAGTACAGACGCTTGCAAGGAAGCGGTTTGTTTTGAGCGTGCAGCATATCCGTTTGAGAGTGCTTGAGAAGGAAGGAAGAGGTGAGAACTTGCAAATTCTGTGCTTTCATAAGCTCAATCCCAAACCCATCTACACCGCAGGACATGTATTACACATACGAGGAGAGCATGTCCCTCTCCTTTACATTGCCAGGGCCCAGCAGTCAAGATCCCAGCATTTAAAGCAGCACCGAAACAATTTCTTCCTAGCTGCAAGCAACTAGGTGCATGAAAATGGCTGGTGTGAGAAGGCAGCTCTGCAGCACTGCTGTCTTGCCCCACCAAGTCAGAGGAATGCAGGCTGTGCATCGCCAGGACCATCTGCACCCGGCTGCTTCCACACCTTGTTCCAGCAGGGAGGGACTGTGCCCCTGGCAAGGTGCGCAGGGCGGCGTGGCTTCAGGTGGACCTACACGCGAGCTGTAGATCACTGCCAAGGCGGGGAAGAGGCAGTGAAGGAGCACGTGGGGATGAGAAAAGCTTGGGCACATCTGGAGTTCCTCTGACTAGACTCACCCTCTTGGTGTAGCTCGCACCGAACGCAGCAAGCCATGGAAAGCAAATGTCGGCTGCCTTAGCTTCTGGGTGCATGGGGCAAATCACCACAGAGGTGTATAAGCCAATCCTTCAGCTCCAGGTCTGTTGGCTGAAGAGATTACCACTGGCCCAGCCCTCAGGCACACGCACCCCCTGCCAGCTTTTCTTGACCTATTTACTAGCAATGAACTAGATGCAGGCAGACCTTGCATTTCAACTGCTTGAGCTAGCACGGCTCGCTTCCAGACAGCCAAGGGAAGCATGTACAAGCTGTACAAGCAGTACAAGCTGTACAAGCAGTTTTGCTGAAAAACTTGGGAGGGTAGTTGTGGTTAGCAGGAGAATGCTGACCAGCCGGGGTGGAGTAGACTGGGGCATTAACCCTTCCACTATAGCTGGAAGAAGACTTGGGTCTCCGGCCTGGTTGTAGCCATATGGCTGTGTGCAGGCTATGACTGCCCAAGCAGGACTTTGAGAAGGGCTGTTCCCGTCCATCCTTTCCCCATGCCACCCCAGGAGGTGCTGCAGCCACCCCAGGAGGTGCTGCAGCCACCCCAGCAGCCTGCCCGCTCCTCCCGTGGCCGCCCTTGTCTCTACCAGGACTGAGCACTGCATCCTCACGCAGGGGCTGACCAAACCCTGCTGAGACGGCTCATGTCCAGTGCTTGCAGCAATGCACAGCACGAATGACAGGGCTCTGTGCTGTCCCCCAGACGGGACAAGGATCAGCCTCTGCTGCAGCCCCTCTGCTTACCTTGTCCTTAAGCTCTTCATTTATCTGGGTCCTGTTCCAAATGCTGAATTAAACCCTTAATACCCCTGAGCAGGGATGGGGGGTTAAATAAGATGAGAGTACTTAAGTAGGATATATGCTTAACTAAGGGTGCTGAGTCTAAAACTAAAGTCCCAAATGCCCCCAGGCAGCTGGCTACACCCTTGGTGGTGCCAAGACTTGCTAGGCAGCTGCCTGTATGAGGTGCCGGTCCCTGTTCACAGCCAGAGCTGCTGCTCTCTGGGCAGCTTGGTGCCTGCCTGTCCAACATCAGGACACCGGCCTCATGTGGTGGGCATCCTAACCCACCGAAAGGAGAAAGTGGCACATGAAATACTTTGCAAAACCCCGCAAACCTGAGGCAGGTGTCTGGCCTGCAGAAAGCAGTGGGATTTACACACAGCCTGCTCCTCCAGACGCAGCCAGTTTCTTGCTTCTCCCCTTTTCAGTTCTCCAGGCAGTTTCTGAGGTAGCCACGAAAGCACATGCTTGAGGTGCTGGCAGAAAAGAGGGGCCTGTGCAAGCAAGAAACATGGTCCGTACGCGAGAAGCACAGGAGGTCTGGCATACAGCGCCTACAGTTTGTATATCCCAGGAAAAATGAAAAACCAGTAAATAAAACTGTCTGCTTGTTTTGGCCCAGGTGACGGGAGATTGAGACTAAGTAATGTGAGTTAGTATAATACAATTTTCATGTCTCTGTCTTTTATAAGCGGTGAAGTTTGTGCTGATTTTCTGTACTCATATGACTTTCTCAGTCTTCATAGGCTTCAGTTCTGATCTCTTTTTAAACCTTGAGATATCTATGCTATTTTTAGTCTTGCAGACTATTTTTGGATAATATCTACAAGATATGGTCTTTTTTAGCTAGCCTCACAGCCAAAACTGTGTCAGACTTTCCCTCTCTTCTACCTTGATTGCTGCAACATCCTTTCTCTGGTTGTGAGATGGATATTTATTCACAGAGCTGCTGCAAAAGTTGTTCACTTTGCTTGCTGTTTTGTCACCCCTTTCCACTGACATCCTTATCTCAGTAGAAGTACCCAACCCGATTTATACAAGCCCGTTTATATTGTGGCTGATGGTATTACTGCATACGTGCAGATGAACTTCTTGGAGTTGCTGCAGGAAGGAGCGCCGCCGGAGGCGACCTGCCACTGCTGCGACACCCCCACCACCACCACCACCCCGAGCGTCCCCTCGGGGCTTGCCATGAATGAGTCGCAGGCCATTGAATTGCTGGTGGCGGCTGCTTGGTTCCAGCACCACCTTCCCTGGTGTCCCAAGGTCCCAAGGCCCCATGGCTGTCGCATCAAGGATACGCACCACTCCAGTAATGGGTGAGAGAGCGAGGAGCCCTGGGGAAAAGCGGCTTCAGGGTGCCAGAATAGCCCTGCCACCCCCAGAGCAAATTCCTCCTGCCCACAGCCTAATTGCTGTGAGCTCCAAGTTGCCTCAGGAAGGAGGTCATCAAGGGGAGGCTCTAGGCCAAAGGACCTGATTTTCATTAGTATTATCCACGGTGGGCCACTCAGAAACAATCTGCACATTCAGGTAGCCCAGAGCCCCTTCTTCCCTGGTAGATCGCCTGCTAGGATCCTACGCGGACTCTTTCTCCTTCACCATCTCTCCTGCCTCTGCTGAGATGTTGCGTGAGTTATCTGGGGGCTTATTTTAAGGAACAGCACAGCACTAATCTGTAGTTTTTCTAAGGTGCAGGCTATACATATGGAAGTACTGTAAAGCTGTTCTCAACAAGCACAGATTGAATTTCCCCTAATTTTAAAACATCAAACACAGCTGCTTGTCTTGCTTTCAGCACCTTCAGAGCCTATCTCCATTCTCTCCCTGACAAAATACAAGGTGAAATCCCACCTTCAAGGAGATGCTCTATACTGCCCCATACTTAGATTTTATCCCTGCAACTTGGTGCTCTGTCACACTGCCTTTCACTTTCAGGAGACGCTCCCAGTGAACGACCGCTTCCGAAAAGCTCCTTAGACCTGTCTGCAGCCGAGCTGGCAATGGCAAGGCTGCTGGTGTCCCACTGCCCCATGGGCTGGCCAGGCAGTGATACCACAGTGCTAGTGTATTTCTAATGAGTATGACACTAAGTGGTGTCACATACAGAAGACTGCTCAATTTCTCCGCATGCTGCAAACAAGATTAACTCAGATCTTAGAAATTAAAATAGAAATATATTGGCTCTGGGTTCATGCAGGTGGTTATGAGTGGAGCTTAGGAAATAAAGATCCGAAGCCTGATAAAAATAAATTCAAAATATATTCCAGATTTTTTTTGTGACTTCTGTTCTCATATTGTCACACAGAATTTGCCTTGCAGGCTAATCTAGGGCATCAATCCATTTTATCATTTTTAAGATGATAGTTTCTTTCTTCTCCAAACCATGCTCTAATGTTAGTGTTTTACAAAATATAACAAAAGTTTAAACATTTTAGTTTGCCCATGCTAGAAAATGGTACTGTTACAACAATGCAGAAGTAATCATCCCCTCCTATTGTGCAGACAGCATAAAGACATTTTATAATAGAATAGCAATTCCCAAATAAGAACTGAAAGAAATTTCATTTAAATAAGTCCCTTTTCTATCATTCAAAGTAGGGCTTTTGCTAGTATAAACTAGTTTGGTTACAAAACATCATGGTTCTTACTGCAATTATTATACTAGGAAAACTCGTAGATCCAGACTGCCTACAAAAACATGACTGTAGCAGCCACCAATATCCTGAGGACTTGTTACGCCAAAGTTAGTCCAGTTGTAACTCTTGATTTCATTGAAAGTTATTCAAAGAATGACTTTGTCCCACTGGACCGGATTCCCTTTCGTAACAGGAGCGTAAAGTGCACTTCCCGTAAAATCACATATTCCAGGAAATATGTAAAATTTTTTTCTTACGGCTGGGGGAGGGACCGCAGGGTGAAAATGAGTCATTTCTATATTGCTGCAGGAATTCTGCCACACCACTAACTATCCATCTCCCACCAGCGTGCTGCCCTCCTTATTTTGCAGGCTCATGAGATTTTGCAGCTCCAGGTGGCCTCTTTTTCCCCTCCTAGATAGCACAGCTAGGCCTCATGGTCAACACAACAGTTAACCAGAACTTTTTTTTAGCCTGACAAATATATCTGTGTAAAGGCACGGCACAGTGCGTGTGAATCCAAGCGGGGCCGAGGTGCGGGCTAGGCAGCACGCAGCCCAGGGCCGAGGCGGTCGCATGATGGGCCGGAGGAACTCGCTCCCTCCCAGCACATACGCAGCGGAAGCGTACAGCACGTAGGACACAGCAGTGTTAATCCCTCTCAGCTACGCCACTTCCCAGCCCCACGCTTTGGTTTCCAGCAGCCCTCAGGTGTCCTCGTGAGGGGCATGCTAAGTTACCTGCGAATGGACGGCTTGGGGACATCCTGGGCACCTGGCTCCACACTCAGCTTGGGCTCTTTGTGGGACTTATCTGAGCTCTCCTTCTATCTGCTCTGCTGTGTTGTGGCTTTTCTAAGCCTGACAAGAGAAATATGCAGGAGAAACAGAGTTGCTTCTGAGCACTGAGGTAGCAAGACCCAGGGAATGCTAACGTGAGTCAAGTCTGGCTCTCACCATTGGCACAGTAAGCAGCCAAAAAATGGTTTTGGCTTTGCTACATGTTTTAGCTACACCAGAGGCTGGGAAGCTGGAATGGGAGGGTACAAACTAGTGTCCCTGCTCCCACCTCTACTATTTCCCCCTCCTCCGATGGCAGTAGGACAGCATACCCAACTCTCCAAGGCCTTCTGCCGGCTCCCTGTTCCAGCTTGGCCATTTTCATCTTCCCGTGAGTGGCATGAGCCGGTCCCAGTCCTGGCCTTTTGTCCTTGTAGTGGCAAAAGTCAGCTTTGCTGGCTCAGCTGGGGAGCCCAGAGAAATGGCTTTGGCCGGACAGACCCAACCAGGTGCCCTGATGTGCAGTGTTCCCTGGGTCTGCTCTAGCAAGCACCAGGCATGGGCTTGGCATGTTTTGGTACCTTCACTTACGATTAATGCCAACCCGGTTTACTTCATATTGCAGCAGCCTAGGAAAGTGCATACAGTCAGTGACTGGACCTCACCTAAGAGGACGGTAACATATGAAAACTCATTTCATTCAGGCCTTTGCACTTGTCAATCAGACGTTTTGCATGCAGCCGAGTGGCGCTCAGACAGCGTAGGCGATATTGCCCACCTATGCAGTTTCACGTGGCTCTAGCTTTGACCATCATTGCTGTTTCCTCTTAGGTTCGGGACGCTTTTTAGAGATGTCGCTCCGTTGCCAGGGTGTGTGCAGCTCTGCGGGGAGCTCAATGGCGAGGAGAGCCCACTTCACAGGCTGGCTTCTGGCAGGTGTTTCACACGTCGTCAGCTCACACCTGACTTTGCATTGAACGTGACTCAGAGTGTGTCCCTCACCGCACTGGGCGCTGCGTAGGCACGTAGGTGCGTGCATCTGTGCAGAGCAGGTGCAAACCACTGCTGTTCATATGTGGAAATGAACCTGCTCAGGTATCAGGGACTGTGTCACCTGGGGTGTTTTACCTCCATGGAGAATCACGCCTTGGGCTTCTTTTCACTCCCCTGCTTGGATGAGAGGGAGTTTGTTTTAACACATCAGGTTGAAAACTTCAGTGGTTTAGGAGTTGCTTCACATGCAGCTCAGCTGTCCCATCTCAGCAGCAGCTGCCTCCAGGGGAAGGGGAGAGTGGGCAGTGAAGCACAGAGACCTTAGAACTATAGAACTCCACCTTTGCCCGCTTTTGTAAAATAGTGCAAGGTTCATGCATTTCAGTATCCGCCTTATGCACATATTCCTCATTTGTTAAAAGCCTGCCGGTTATTCCCCTTCCTCTGTTGCACCCAGCTGCTGTTTATCCTAATTTGGCATTTGGAAAAATTTTGTCACCCAAATTGCATTAGCAGAAGGTGAAAGTAAGCAAGGAGGAAACAAGGACAACTGCATATATTCCATGTGGGCAGAGTACGTGTTCTTTGCCTGTCCAACAACCGTGGATGTTTTTCTTACTTAAAAAAAAAAAACAAAAACAAACTACCAACCAGCTCCCAAACCTCTGGCTAACCACCAGCTTCAGCTACACCAGCCATACCCAGCTGTATGCACGTAGCTGAGTGATACCCCCCCAGAGCAGGGCACATTCCAGTTACTTAGCTCTTTGGGATTAACTGTCCCTTTCATCAAGTTGGCTTGGACTACAGTTGCTGTTGATCATGCAATGCAAATCTTCCTGAGAAAGACTCTCAGGCTATTGATTACAAAAGATAGCCCTTTCGACAAGCATTACATAACAAAATCCAAACCCTCGATGTTGCAGGCAGTTGTTGTCATAGATAGGAACTGTTTATTGATCACAGCCAGATATGAAAATATGCATCCTTTACAGTAAGCGATGCTGAATATCTAGTGTAGCAAGATGAAAGCCATCATTTATGCCACTTGGGGGAAAAGAGCTCTGCCAGAACGTGGGAGGACTGTATGTTATCTAACATCCTACATAACATGTAGCGGCTGAGAGCAACAAGCAGGAGGAGAATTACAATGCTTCTGCTTGTGAAACATCGTGCCTGAGAAGCAGAAGGGTGTGGATTTACCCCCACCTCATTTTAGGTGTCTAAATGAAGCATCAGTGTCAGGAGCACAGTCATCCTGGGTGCTCCCTCAGAGAGAGATGCAGTTCAGATTTTAGGAGGGATAAATCGCTTTCTGCAGACACCTCGTCTCTTGACCACAGAAGATGAGAAGCTACACTCCTCACCTGGGACGAGTCCAGCTGCAGTGAGGGAGCAGGGTGGCAGAAACACTGCCTGAAGGGAAGATACTGGTAGTTGTTTGGGGCTACTCTTAAGGAAGGGAAGGGGGAAATCCGGAATGATTGGCTCGGGATTCCTCTGGTGGGGGGGACAGCCACAGCCAGCAGTGGTCAGCATGTACAGCAGATCCTGTTATCTCCAGCCCAGAGGTGTGCTCACGAGGAAGGTTGTGCTGGGACAGTCCCCGTGAGATAAGAACCTCCTGTGATGCCAACCGCAAAGCTACGCTGATTTACACTAGGATGAAAATAGCCCTCGGAGGTTTTACACTAGTGAAAGGTCAGCCAGACTGGGACATCAGGGCCAACATATAAAGGAGTGGGTGAAATAGCAACTTTTCTCCCTATGTGCTGAAGCTCTGCTCTAAAGATAGACTCCTGAACTATTTATTGGGACAATTGTGTGTCCTCTCTGCCTAGGAACAGGTGTATCTCTGAATGCTGTCACC